CAGTGAAACAGGTACAACGTGATCCACCGCTCCCTGAATTTTATTTTCCTCTCGTAGATAATATTGGATGGAAAGGGGATCTCTTTTGAGGTTAAATATTTCTGTAAATTCAATCCTATGATCTCTATGAACTTTTGTAGATAGCAGAAGCTTGTCTGCTTGCATGTTACCTTATGGATTTCATAGGTTACTCTGTAAGTTTGAACCTCTCAGTATGTGTTTTTCTGTGGATTTGTGTCCGAGGGAGAGAGATAATAGACATTTTTCTCCTTACAAATGTCATGATAACCATGTTTGTTCAGTATACTGGGGCTTTCTAGCCAATTCGTTATATTGTAAATGTGATTAGAGTAGCATTAAGCCCTTTAGTGTACAAGGGTTTTACTTTTCTGCATAGTTGTTTTTGGAGCTCTGCAAGCAGTATGACCAACTTCTAAAAAAGTCCTTATTTTGGTTTTAGGGTCATTCAATTCTTAAGATCAAAAAGAATTTTTTATTGGAAAAGCTTAGGTCTTAAGAATATGTACATGGATAGAACTTGAGTATCTTAATGAAGGTGTTCGTATGTACAGATTGAATAAGGTGTAATGCTTTTATATACTTCGATTATATACTTTTATACATCTTGTTGCTTTTATCTGTAATAGTTGCACTTAATGAAGGCAACTTGTTGCTTTTATCCATTAACTATTGACTGTTAAATCCGACATTTTCGATATTACTTCGTTTGTTTCTGGCATTCTTACCTGAAATTAGTCTTTCCCATTCTCTAGATCCCTCAAGAAGCTGCTTCAAATGCTTATGTTTAGCTGGGATTCTTGTCAGAAGGATGTAAGGTCCACAAACAAGATGTTGCAGGCATCATCTGCCAGTGCCATCCGATCCGAAATTCCGAATAGCTTTATCTATCAACTAATGATCGAGTGGAACTTATATGCGAAGGAAATTGATGTTAATGAACTTGTAAATCATAGGATTGTATTTAAGTTCTAATTGATTTTGTGCATGGAGCAATCCCTGAGCTGCCGGCACAAGTAGTTGGTTAGGCCAAAACTAAAAACTAAGTGGTTTCCATGATTGGGAACTCCTCTCTTGTAAATATTTGATAGGGAAATTTTTTTGTTTTTTAGTTTTGCTTAAAAGTTTGTCCAATATAAGGCTAAGGAAAGGTACGAATAGACACTATTAAAAATGTTATAAAAATCATAATATTTTCGGTTGGATGTAACCTAAAATACCAACTTTTTCCTAACATGAACTGAAAATGTTACGTTCTTCGTAATATTTTCGATTCAATCGAAAATATTAAAAAAAAATTAATATTTAAGTTACGTTCAACAAAAATTATTATATTTTTATAATATTTTCGGTTGCACAAATTCTTTGTCATTCCTTAGTTGTATGTTCTAAACTCGATGAGATTAATATTTACCTGGACCACTAAATAAATAGATGAAGACACGTGGTTCATACAAAGAAGAAGAATAAGAATTGTGAGAGTAAAAAAACATAGAATCAACACCAAATCGTACATTTTTGTTGTACGTGTTGCATTACACACCTATAAAAGTCCAGGGACCAAATGTATGATTACCCCAAAAATATATAGTGAGGACCTTTACCCATTGTAATTAAGTTTACCAATAATAATTTAAATAGGAAAAGCATCACAAAGCAAAAAGTCTTAAAAATCGTGCCGCCAATTACAGTGTGCAATTGGGCCAATCGCTTTGACTCTTCTGGCAGTGACAGGCAATGACAATTGTGCATGTAGTCATCACACAGATCTGCCCCCATCTTCTATTCAGTCTTCATTACCCCCCAGCTAGTTTGACTGTTCCTCCAACTGCAACGCGCATTGCTTGCTGTGCTCTATCTAATTTAATATTTTTAGTAAAATATGATTTTTTATCAAAAATATTAATTTCGTTAATTAATTTATGGTAGAACTTAATATTAATATTTATTATACAAAAAATAATATTTTTGATAGGACTTTATCAAAAATATTAAATATTTTAGGTAGCGTTTAATATTAATATTTTTGATAAAAAAAATATTTTAAATAATATTTTATCAAAAATATTTTAAAATATTAATATTTCTGATAATTTATTTACTTAATCATATATTAAGATTACTGTACCTACACGAGACATCCCCAATTTAATGCCCTAGTACAAATATTTTTCTTCTTTTATTGTTTTTAATATTAAAGTATAATAAAATATTTAATATTTTGTGATGAAACATGTCAGTATATTTTCACATTACTTGTTTTTTAACTTAAAATATTATATTTTATGTTGATGCACCCTAGATAATTAATGTGATAAGTTAATACGTTTAAATTATACATTTTAATAATTTTAGGTGTTTACATTATAAGTTTTATTTTTTTATTATTATTTTTAGATCGTTTATTTAAAGATATTCATTTTTATTACATTAGAAGTTTTATTTTATTTTATTATTATTTTTAGACTGTTTGTTTACAGATATTAATTTTTTATTTATCAATTATTCAAGTATTATAACTTAATTTTTATTTAATTCGTCGCACTATAAGTAAATCTAATTGTTTGGGGATTAATTTTTAAGGGTTTATATTTTGATTTTACTTTAAAATAGATGTATTTTTAAAATCAAAGCATTTAGTTTTTTTAATTTCTCAAAAATGAAATTAAATTTTTGTAATTTATTTTTCTTGTTTGTTTTCCTACAAATTGAAATAATAAGATGAATGAAGACCACACATCACATATTCATTTTAATATTTTTACCGGGCAATATGGAAATAAAGACATAATTTAATATCACATAATTATTTTGACAAAAATCAGATATTTAAATATATAATTTTAATATTTATTTTACAATTGGATAAACTACACCAAGGTCATTTAATTATGGATTTCATAATAAACATGCCACTTTTCTTTTTAGAAATCACATATAAATCTCTCAAAATTATTATAAAAAAGTGATTGGTCGTTAAATATTATTCTTTCTGTTCTATTAAATTTGTCAACTATTGATTTTTTGAGTCAATTATTTAACTTTGAGTCACTATTATGTAAAATTTATTATTGATAAAAATATATCTTACAAAATTTAAATCAAGTAAGTTTTAAATATATATATTTTATAAAATTTAATTATTACAATATTTAAGATAATCATGTTCAAAATTTAAAATTTTTTACTTTTAAAAAGTGAATAATTGATAAATTAGTGGGATGGAGAGAGTGATTTTAAAATTTTACATTTAAGAAGTCAATAATGAACACAATTAGTGATAATAGCGTGTCCTATTTTAATAATGGGTTTAGGCCTTAAAACTTATAAATCTATCAACTTGGTCTTAATTTAAAACAATTTAATGAGAGCAATCACATTTGGTCGGTTAGTCAAACTGTCCATTTTTATTTTTTCATATTGTCTTAAGTTATGAGTTCTAGATACTAAAATAACTCTCATTCCTTTCCCTATAATCCCCTTCCCATCTCCTTTAAGTAGGATTAGAATAATTACCCTATTTAAAATTAATAAAAAAATAAACCTAATCTAATAAATTTAACTATTCATATTAAAAATTTTATCATTTTAATATTTATTCTTGCTTATAAAACTTTTTTAGTATAATAATAATAATTTACCAGTAACATATTAATGCTTTGTGGCAAACTATAGTTCTTTTACTATTGTTTTGATCTATTGACTCATTTGTTCATGGTTTTCAGAACCGGACCGGTTAGTAAACCGACCATGTTACCGGTTTACTGGTTTAACCGGTCGGAAGAACTAAACGATGTCATAATTATTTAAAAAATTAAATAAAAATACGAAAAATAATAAAAAATAATTTTTTATATCACAATTCATATTCAAAGCAAGTCATAACATATATAAGTTAAAAACCATAAAATCAAGTGAAATAAAATGATTCAAATTAACTACAACATAATATTTAAGGTAAAACATATTAAATAATAAATATAATTATATAACTATAATTAAAAAATAAATTTGAGGCTAAAAAAATCATAACAAAATGATATTGTTTGGTTTAATTTTTTTAAAAAAAACAATCTACATGGCTAAGAAACATGGAAGATCATCTCAACTAACTTCTATAAATAATAGAGGTAATTTGACATTCAAAATCATGGAGCCTTTTGATAAGCATTGAGTGAACTATTCTTTCACTTCAATCAAGCTCGAATTTTAGGCTTCAATTGAGCTTCTAATTTTTTTTTGAGTTCAAGCCTTTTCGAGTTCAAGTTTCAATATTATATTTCGAGTTCAAGTTAAACTTCATAATTTTTAGCTCGTGAGTTTGAATCGAGTTGAGCTTACTTTTAAATTTTTCAAGTTCGAGTCGAGCTCAACAATACTCGAGTTTGACTTTGTTCGTTTAACAAATGACGTCGTTTGGTTTATTTTTTTAAAAAAAAAACAAAATTTGCATTTTTTCCGGTTTTCAACCGGTCCGATTTGAACGATTCAGCGATTCTGACCGGTTCACTAATAACAGTTCAACCGGTATAGATTGAACTGGACTAGGCTCCGATCCGATTTTCAAAACAATGCATTTGTTTTGATTGCATCGTAAAAGAAATTAAGATAAACATTTTAAATATGAAATGTAAAATATATTGAATTATTTTAAATGAAGATAAAAAAATTATTATTTATAATAATATTTTAATCGAATGATTGTTTATAACTTTTAAAAGGAAAAACGACATGTTTATTATAAATTTATAATTAAATGATATTGGGTATTAGTTTAGCCGATCCTAATTAATAAACAAAGCTCTTCTGATGCGCTGTTGCCAGATTCATCGTGTATATTTTCAAAACAAAACTCAGCTAATTAATAAGCTAATCATCTACTCAATCCAACAAATGACGGTAATTTAAGTGAAAACCTAGGCTTAAGATTATTATGCTTTATAAAGCAAACCATGTGGACAAGGGCTTGCTCAGACCATCAACATATGGCACAACCACCCCTCATGTGATCTCTATCTCTCTCTCGCTCTCTGCTCATTGTTCTGAAAAACCAAACCCTCCTCTCCCCAATGTCTACTCTATTTTCATTTCTTATTGCTCTTGTGTTAGTTTTTACTTCGGTTGCGTCGGCAGCCGATGATGTAGATCCGAGTTTACGGTTCGAGAACCCGAGGATCCGTGAAGCATACATTGCTTTGCAAGCATGGAAGTCCGCCATATATTCGGACCCGTTCAACTTCACAGCCAACTGGAATGGCTCCGATGTGTGTTCTTACATGGGAATCTATTGTGCTCCCTCTCCTTCGAATCCCAAGATCAGGGTCGTTGCCGGCATTGATCTTAATCATGCCGACATTGCCGGTTATCTCCCTCCCGAGCTCGGTCGCCTCACCGATCTCGCGCTCTTTCACCTCAACTCCAACCGGTTTTGCGGCGTTGTCCCGGCCAGCTTCCGCCGGTTGAAGCTGCTTCACGAGCTTGATTTGAGCAACAACCGGTTCGTGGGCAAGTTTCCCGACGTGGTTATCTCGCTGCCTGCTCTGAAGTACTTGGATCTTCGGTTCAATGAGTTCGAAGGATCGGTCCCGTCGAAGCTATTCGACAAGGAACTCGATGCGCTGTTCTTGAACGACAACAGTTTTAGATTTGGCATTCCTGAGAACCTGGGGAACTCCCCTGTTTCGGTTCTGGTTTTTGCCAACAACGACCTCGGTGGTTGTATTCCGGGAAGTATTGGGAAGATGGGCAAAACTTTGAACGAAATCATCCTTATGAACGACAACCTTACGGGATGTTTGCCGCCGCAGATCGGGATGCTTAAGGAGGTTACTGTCTTTGATGTGAGCTTCAATCATTTGCAGGGATCTTTGCCGTCTAGCATTGGTAATATGAGGAGTTTAGAGCAGCTGGATGTTGCTCATAATGGCTTTACTGGTGTGATTCCGGCCACCGTGTGTCAGCTTTCCAGATTGGAGAACTTTACTTATTCTTTCAACTATTTCACCGGAGAGCCACCTAGTTGCGCGGCGATATCGGGTGCAGGGGAGGCTAATGGAATCATGAACTGTATTCCTGGGAAGACGGATCAGAGGTCTTTCCGGGAATGCTCTTCGGATGCTGCTCGACCTGTGGGCTGTAGTAAGTTTAAATGTACTAGCGGTGGAAGTTCTGGAGGTGGGGGTGGCGGAAGTGGAATCTCTCCGTCGCGGAAAAGGCCTCCAGTGCCTCCAACACCGCGTCGAGCTAATCCACCAAAGTGGTTTAGGCAATCCCCTCCACCACCTTCTTCAAGGTCTTCGCCTTCTACCAGATCACATCCTCCACCACCACCGTTGTCAGCACCACCAAAGTACTCTCACGTTTCAACTCCACCGCCCCCAACTCAAAGTACATCACCAAAGACGCATCTTCCACCGCCACCTCCACCTGTTCACTACGAACCCGTACAGTCTCCTCCTCCACCAATGTTACAACCTCCTGCACCAACTCCATCGGGCCATTACTATAACACTCCACCACCAAGCCATTACCACAATACACCACCAGTGGAAAAACCAACTCCAATGCCACCAGGCCATTACAATAATAACCCACCGCCGCCGCCGCCATCACCAGACCACTACTACAACACACCGCCGCCGCCGGCAACAAAGAATACATCACCAAGTTCCCATTATGCACCACCTCCTCCCCACCTGCTCATTATGTTCCCGCGCCTTATCCTTCACCGTTGCCACCTCAAGGTCAATATCTCCCACCTCCGTCAACGGGGCACCAAGCAAGCCCACCTCCGCCTCCGTCATCGTATGAGCATCGGTCCCCACCTCCACCAGTGGAACATCATCAACCACCCAAGGAGTCATGTCATACTACCCCTCCTCCACCACCCCCGCCGGGATGCACAACTACCGAATCAGCACCACCGCCGCCGCCAAGTCAACATTCAAGCCCTTCACCATATATACCAACACCCGGTCATCACTATTCACAACCATCCCCACCGTCCCAACAGCATCAAAATCCTCCGCCAACGCGCTATACATATACATCTCCACCGCCACCCTCTACGAAAACACACCACTTCCACCAATCATAGGGGTACCATACGCTTCTCCTCCGCCGCCGGTTATTCCCTACTGAAGGAATGCTTTTTCGCGCCATTGAGTTGTAATTCAAATTCTTTGGTGCAACCATGAATAGATGTCCTGTTAAACTGTTTTTTTTCCAGCTTGAGAACTGTTTCCCCCCACTAAATATCTAATAATTTACAGTATATATTTCATTTCCTATGTACTGTTCAAGCTATTATACAGGCAAAATCAGTTGAGCATCTCATGTATAATTCATAAACATATTCATACATATATGTATTCAATCACAAATCACTGCAACTTTCTCAGAAATCACATGTTTTCCCCCTTCACTTCGATCACTGATTCGATTTCTAAAAACTGAACTTGTACATTCAGCTTATTAAAATTCAAATTGCTTGCAATTTTTTTAGAAGAAAAATAGAAGCTTTGAGCCATGGGGAATTGCTCACGGACTATGCTTAATATGCTATTAAAAAAAACGGTTCTGATTTTGTTATTGTTGTACACAATAAAACTGGTAAAAATGACCGAAAATATTATTATTTTTATTGATTTTGTTAATATTTTGGTATTTTATCGGGTTTTTTAATAAAACCGATAAAAGCGCTGCCGGTTTTGTTATTGTTGTGCACAATAAAACAGGTAAAAATTATCGAAAACATCATTATTTCTACCGGTTTTATTATTATTTTGGCATATTACCCGGTTTCTTAACAAAACCGGTAAAAGCGCTACCGGTTTTGTTATTTTTTAACTGTTTTGTTATTGTTGGGCATTTTACCGGAAATGTTAAAAAACATTGATGTTTTAGATAAAAATAATAATGTTTTAGGTAATTTTTACTGGTTTTGTTATGTACAACAATAACAAAATCGGTAAAAATAGATTTTTTATTACAAATTTAGTAAAAACAAATTTGATTTGTTTCCAACATTTTGTCTAGTATGGTTCTGAAACATAAAGTTTCCAAAACAGTGTCGATACATTTATTGTAAGTATAGATCATCAAAACATCGAAGCCAATTATTATAAAGTAATAGGTAAAATATATTGGTTTAATGAGAGAATAGGTAAACATATTTGTCGATACATTTTCTAAAAGTGTCGATCCCAAAAAGATCGAAACTGATAATTATAATGTAATAGGTAAATTTACAATGTATCTTGTAGAAATATACCGGTTTTATGAGAAAATAGGTCTAAATAATGTATCGACACATTTTAAGTTTGTGTCGATACTTTTTTCCAAAATAAATGCCAAATGAGATGCACGCATAAAGTGTCGATACATTTATTAAAAGTATCGATCCAAAAAACATTGAAACCGATAATTTCAATGCAATAGGTAAATTTATAATGTATCCGGTAGAAATATACCGGTTTTATAAGAAAATAGATCTACATAATGTATCGACACGTTTTAAGTTTGTGTCGATACCTTTTTTCCAGAATGAATGCCCAACGAGATGCACACATAAAATGTCGATACATTTATTAAAAGTATCGATCCCAAAAGAATCGAAACCGATAATTATAATGTAATAGGTAAATTTACAATGTACCCGGTAGAAATATATCAGTTTAGTTAGAAAATAGGTCAATATAAACGCTACATATTACATTATATAAACGCTACCTAATATGTTATTGTGCTTGATAATGTTTCTTGTAATTAACATATTTTATTATATAAGTGCTACCTATTACATTATATAAGTGTTACCTAATATGTTATTGTGCTAGATAATGTTTAAAGTAATTAACATATTTTATTATATATGCACTACCTATTACATTATATAAGTGCTACCTAATTTGTTATTTTACTTGATAATATTTCGATTAAATGATATAATATACTGGTCTAAATTTTATGATAACCTATTTAATTAATTATATATTTTTTTAACCGTTTTTTAACCGCGAAACATTAGTACTTAACCATGGGACACTTGATAGTCAAACCAAGGTTTTGTTTTTAAGACTAATAATGATGTCTGGTAGGATGGGGAAGAAACGCATTTATGTTTTTGGATTGATTTGGTAGTAAAAGCGATTGATGATTCCTGCTGGTATTTATAGCATAACGACAACACAATGAACTGTACGAAATTATTAAGCACCGGAATGCATGTGATGTGTGATGGAGGGTTAGTGGGTCAGCAAAGCAATTGTTGACAGAGGTGATGGCACTATATCCCCAGATATGAGACCTAAAGATATATTAGGTTTGATAACTCTGTACGGATGTATGATTTTAGTCGTTTTTACCTAAAAATAAATAAATAAATAAACAATCAATAATTATCTATCAATCACCTATTTATTCAAATTTACTGATCTAATTTTTTCTGACAAAGTAATAATAAAATACGATTCAGGATAGACGTCTTGCAGTCGTAGACGAAAATCACAGATCATAAAGCATACCTTCAATTATTTTCTCTCATTATTGCCCATTCTATTATTACCGTAGTTGTCTTAACTACTCATCCCAATAAATATCCCAATCCAAATATCAAACTATACAAAAATTACATTCACATTATTCTTTCTATAAATTCTTTATTGAGTAGATTTTGTTACAGTTTTTAAAATGTAAATTTTTTTTATTATGTTATATTAATTTCATATTTAGTTTATTTGACCAAATTTTATTGTACTAATTATTTTTTATTACTTTTTATGGTTATAAAATGAAAGACATGATCATATCTCGAGACATATTACCGTTACGATAACAATATTAAATTGAGTTATTTAAATTATTGTGAATATTTTTTTAATATTTTTAGTATTAGTTTATATTTTTAATTCATATATGTTTATTTTTTAATTTTAACGTTGAATATTTTAATTCATTTTTACAAATATAAGACTTTTAATCTCTCAAACTCTCAAATTAAGGAAAATTTCAGCTATTGTTAATTATGATGGAGAAATTCGGGAAGATGAAACCGACGTTATCTTCGAATCAAATTATTCTGTCACCTTATCCTTAAAGAGAAACATCAATCTTGAGGTTATTTTTGTCATTTCTAAGCATGAGAGTATTCCAATAATTTCCTTTGATTCGGCCATATATATCATTTCCAATAATTTAATCATCGGGTGATTATTCTAGAATCAAAAATTCTAAATCTTTTACTACATCGGGAATTAAAATAAGTTATCAGGATGTTTCTAAACAAACCGAGTATTTATCAAGTGAATAAGTAGTCTATCAAATCAATGATGACTTTTTATGGTTATTAGTTATTAATAATCTCAAGGATTATGAACCAATTTCAGGTCTTTCAAACAAGTCAGAATCGAGTTCAGTTAGTGGATCAGTAGTTCTATCAGGGTAAGAATGAATCATTAGGTTAATTCCACTATTTGAGTCAATTCCTTCTCTTTTTAATTCATAAGCGTATTTTCAAAATTTTCTTTCCAAATATTTTCGACATCAAAACATTTAACGATAATATTCAAAGTTTAAGGATTCTGAGTTAATTCTTTTGTCTATTAATCATTAACCTTAAATTTATTTCTTATTAATCTTCTAATTCCTTTGTGCAATTCAATCGAGTCTTAAACCAATTTATCACTTAAATCGTATTCAGTTTGAGTCAATCCATAACCAAATATGCATAATAGACCAATCATATACATCAATGCATTTATCTAATAGCAACATGTTCAAAAAATATGCAAAGAGGTAGTAAAGTATTACCTCAATTTTCGTACCATGTCAATTGACCAATTGGACCCCAATTGATCGCTCTCACACTTGATTGACATGTCTCATAATATCTCAGATACACGTGAAAACGATTTACGTCAGAAACAAAACTTAATCGAGAAAACTATTCAAATCGCAAGATAAAATGCTAAAAATAGCTTATCAGGTTTGAATTTGGCAAAACAGACTTCAGATTCAGGTCATCGAAAAACATACAATATGACTTTTTCAAAAAAATAACTTTTTGGTCAAAGTCAACGGTCAACACGATCAAAGTAAATGTGTTTGGTCAACGATCAACGGTCGGATCAATGATTGACGATTTGACTGGGTTTGAGTTAACTCGATCAACTCGGTATGAATTGACTTGGTCAACCCGGTCTAAGTTAACTCAACTTCTAGAAAAATCGGTTGACTCGACTGAAACAAGGCCCACGCGCACTGGTTGCGCATAGCGACGCGTGTGGTGAAGAAACGGACAGGGCAAGGCGATCGAATATTCTCGGAGCAACCAAACGCCTAAAACAACCAATATCAGAGCAGAAATTGATCAACAATATAAGATTTATAAAAGAAACTAAACGAAAGCTCACCCCTAACGATGAATGACTGAAGTCGTGGCAGTGAGGGGCAAACCCAATTGGGTTTTGGTCAAACGAACTCGAGGACCTTCGAGGTAGAGGCAGTGAGGCAAACTGACGTCGAAATCGCTCCCAAACGACAAAAACCATCGGGGAAGATAAAATCTCTGATGAAGCTTTTGAGGGCTCTCCACGGCAGACGGTAGCGGCTCGAAGATCAGTCACTGGGGTTTTGATCGGGATGAGGTGGCTTATCGACTGGTGTCGGTAGTGACACTTACCGTTGAATGGTGGCCGAGTTCGAAAAATGGGTTTTCGAACGATTTTCACGTGATTTTGAGACCAACGATAATTGTTCAGAATGGTTAGCCGTTGAGGTTTCAATCACTGGAGGTCGTCGATAACACTAAGGGTGACAGTGTAATCCACCACCGACCGAAGATTATTAAACGGGGATAAGACAGAATGATGGGTATTGAGTGAACAGGAAAAAAGTTAGAATACGAGCAAAAACCAAAAATTGAAAAAAATACAGGGTTAAGGATAGAAAACTGATATAAAATTAATAAAATATCTTTAATGAATCCATTAATTATAGTAACTAGCCTAAATGGCTAGGGCTTAGGCTAAAAATTCTAGAGGACATAGGTTCAAACTTGGTGAACAACATACACATTTTTTTAACAAATCAATTAATGATGGAGAAAACAAGGTTTAAGACCTTAAACTAATCAGAGACTTACTAAACAAATACGAGATTCTTTAAAATTTACAATTTGGTCCTTATAATTAACTAGAATCAAAACCAATAAAAATTGGGGTGTGACATATTCAAAAGTGCATTTGCACTGATACAAAAGTGCCATAGCACTGGGGAAGAGAATCCATATATCTCTACTTATATATTCGAAAAATACATGCATATACTCAAGTAATTCGGGTGTCATCGTTGTTTCCCGAGTGTCAAACAAAGGCTAGTTTTATGCCACATAACTTAATGTTTTTGTTCATAACGGTTTTGAATAATATTCCCATTGTAACACCTTAGACTAGTACGACACATAATCGATCGATTTAAGGTGCTACACGGAACTACCGAAGTGGCTAACCAACTTTATACTTACATTCTCATGCTATAAAACGACCATTATAACCAACCATAAAATAAACTGAAATATAAAAAAATCTTTTCACTGAGGAGCTCCAAAATAAAATATTTACACTTCAAAAATATTACAGACCAACATGACTAAATCTACAACTCAACTGGACAATAATGTTTACAAATATACATGCCCAATAAAAACGCTGAGACGTACATCTGATCTGTACTGGACTGGTCTGGACCTTGTTCTATCTACTGCTTCAACAACCGCTTGATATTACTAACCTGCCCACGAAAATGTCTAAAGGCTGATCTAACTTGCTCAACGCCACACTAACGACTAAAACATATTAATTGTAATTCACTGAAAGGCTTAAATATTCAAGTCTATTGCTTTTCTCTCTAGTCTACTGATATGCTTTGTATTGCTTTAGCAAGTGTACACGCTCTCTACTCTATGGTAGACATCATGTACAACTGAGGGTTCTGCATATCGGAGCTCATACACCCCTCTAGTCTACCAAGAATGTGGCCCCCAAAATCTCTGTATCGAACACCATACTCTCGACTAGCCCACTCATTGAATGTCGAACCTTGCGCCCAAACTAGTCAGCTTAAAGTGCCTTGCGCACTCCTTAAGGATATATCTGGACTGAATCTATACTTTTGACTCTTCTATATTTTCTAAAGGAACTCGGGCGTCCTGATTATTTTCCTGAGCATTCAAACAAGGCTAGTATTATTTGATCTTACTCTATTCTTGCTTCTACGTGTGAAATAAACACCCAAAAATCATCCCAAATGTCTTGGGTTGGTTTCTAAACTTATTCTAAAGCTTTAGTAAGTTGTTTAGGGTCTTAAGGTGTCATAAAAATGTATTAATAATACTTAAAACGTGATTTGTGAAATTAAACCCTAAAATGCTCAAAACACCAAATCTTAGCAAAAACTATGAATTTATGAAATCTTAATACTTAAAGGATTAGAAATACACTACCTTGATACTAGGATCCCAAAATGAAGCTTATTTAGCTATCAAGCACAGTTCTTTTTGTCTTGGTTGATTTTGCCACCATTTTTCCTCAAACTAAAATGAAAACAAAGATTTTTAGCATACCAAGGGTTGTAGGAAAGATTAAGAACGAATTTGAAGGTTTAAAAAAATGTGAAAAAGGCTTACCTTTAGCTAATACCTTTGGAGAGGAGGTAGGAAAAGATAATGAGAAGATATAATGAGAAGAAGATTGAGAACATTATAAAAGCTTTCATCTTTTAGGGATGAGCTAATTTCTCTTTTGGCCTATCTTTATTCTTTCACCATTCAAAAACCCTCTTTTTATTAGGTAATTGGGCCCAAGTCCAAACCCAATTAAGCCCAACAACTTAATTTATAAATTTCACAAAGTCCACTTACCTTTCGGGTAAACTCGAAACTACTAGCCCAGAAGTTAGGGTGTTATATCATCATTGACAACCACTCTTGATGAACTTGGATTAATTGGATCTGTTAATGAGACCTCTGGATATGAAAGGCATGCCTAGGAAAAAGTGTTATATGTGTTTTATATATGTGTGTGATCGGGTTATACAGGGTATGGATGGTACGTTGAGCTATGCTCCAAGAAGTTACGGGGTAAGGTTGGCGTTGAGCTTTGCTTCACAATTTTTTGGTTTTGGACCTATGTGAGTCCGTAAATAAAATGAGAGTCATATGCAGTCCATGTATCCAATGAGTGATTGGTGTTTTGAACAAAGCCATTGATCTTTTAACGAAAAAATATGTGCGCATTGTGTGTGCCTTGTTGAGGAAGATAATTGTGCATGAGTGTTTGTGGTTACTGTTGAATTATGTGAATAAATGGCACCTGGATAATCTGGAAATTATGTGCATTAGTGTACGATAGATGATTATCCGAGCATGTTAAAATTTCGCATAAGTTGAGGTAAAAACAAGTGTGGTGTGTGCATATAGGGCTTTGCTTCATCTTGGGTATGTGCATTGTCTTAGAATAATTGTTATTCACTAGGCTTTTTAGCTCACACTCGTTATTTTACATTTTTCAAAGGATTAGGATCTAGTTGGAGGCGAGGGGCTCGCACCGAAAGTGATCAAGCAAAGCAAAGACTTAAGTGAAGCGTATGTGGTTTTGAAATAAATGGTGACAATGTGGGAGATGTTTCAGGACTTAGCCATTTGATGTTATATTGATTTTGTAATAATTGCACTTATGTTGTGGTGATTGATTTGTGTTTGAAGACTTGTTGATGATTCGATTTGTTGTGTTGGGAATTGTTATGCATGATTTTGTCTAAATGTTGCATGTGAATGCTCGAATGTTGACTTGAACCTTAAATAAGTGTTTGAAGCATTTAGACAAATGTAATTGAGTAAAACAAACTTGTTCGACTCTTAGGTAGCATGAAACAACCTATAATGTAGAATTTGAGTAGGTGACGTCTGCTTAAGAGGAATATTTATGCAATATTTGACTTTAGATGCTAGATTTTTGTATAATGTGTTGACTCATGTTGTGAACTATGTTGCACTTGCATTATGACATATATAAAGTGGTTTGATAGTATTCAAGCATAATCCTAGCTTCTAGTAAATTTTATGTGAATGTTTAGCAACTTGAAAATGCATGTTCTTAAAGAGGTTTATATGGGGTGTTACACTCCATTTCCTTCCTCTATTTCTTTTAAGTTGAGATTTGTCTTGAAGAGGAAATTGCTGGAACTAATGAAGCTATAAACACTGTGGCCACTGGTTTTGAAGAGGGATAAAGGAAGGGGATGAAGGCATAATGAAGGGGATGAAGGCACAAATGAAAGGGATTAGTTTTAGGGTTAGCTTGATAACCCCTTTTTTTGTTATTGTTAAGTCACTCGATTGACACATAAGCAAAGTTATCTTAGGCGGAAACAATTGGCGTCCACGTTAGTAGAAACTAACGGTTTTGTTAGTTAAGACGGTCAAAGGTAGAAATTGATGCAATTAAACAACATCGAGGGTAAAATTGATGCGAAAATACGATAATGACGAAATTGATAAATTTAGTGTACTACAGGGGCATCTGTGACCCTTAAGCCATATATTAATATAGATCAACTATATATTAGATTGAATTCTTAATAAATTAATCTTAAATTCATTTAATCTTAAACTCATTTCCTAAACATCCGTCATTTGCTACTTAAAATGTGCTGTCTAAACAAATTCTCGGTCGAAAAGAAGGATCTTTACTAGCCTAAACACCACATTTTAGTAGTATGGCTTGCATTGAATACCGGGCGTTTGACTGAAGCGTCTATATAAGGCCAAACTGGAGCAACGATCCAGTAACTAATAATCTCAACTGATTTTTCAGAGCGATTGCCAAGGTAGAGAGGAAAAGAGAACCGAACCGAATCGAACAAGACAGACATGTCTGGTAAAGGTGAGAAAGGTGATGAAGATATAGAGCTTACACCGGCAGGAGAAGAAAAGAAGGAACCGAAGCAACGAAAGTCGTCATGGGCCAAGCTACGCCATGTTGATTCTTTCAACGCGGAGGCCGGTAGAATATTATCAGCACTTCAGGGCCATAACACCAAGGTCATCAATCTCTCCAGTGATCGGCGAAAAGGACGGTGGTCCTTGAAAATTTTAAATACTAGTATATTTTAGATATTTTAGGTTTGTTTTTGTTGCCTAAGTCTTTTTTTTTTCTTCCCTCTTTTGTATAGAAGGGTTGGATGACAACGGTGAGTTTAGCATTTCAGACTATAGGAGTAGTGTATGGAGACATCGGAACTTCTCCGTTATACACATTCGCCGGAATTTTCCCAGAAGGCATTGACCAGCAGGAACACCTACTCGGAGCTCTCTCCCTCATCCTCTACTCCATAATTCTCATGCCCTTTTGCAAGTATACATTTGTAGTTTTGAATGCAAATGACAATGGAGAAGGTAATTCATTTTAACCTAAACTTTTTGTACGTAGTAAACGATCATGCTACATGTTTTCATATATGAATTGCAGGCGGAACATTCGCGCTCTATTCTTTGTTATGCCGACATATCAAAATGAGCTTACTTCCAAATCAACAACCGGAGGATCGAGAACTGTCGAACTACAAGCTGGAAACATCATCCAGCCAGATGAAACGAGCACATTATATTAGAGGAAAGTTGGAGAACAGTCAAGCTGCTAAAGTTGCTCTTTTTCTATTCACTATCCTTGGCGTTTCAATGGTTATGGGAGATGGGATTTTGACTCCATCCATGTCAGGTATTCCTTGAATATCTACTCAGTTAAATCTACGAATAAGATTACTTTCATTTGTTTTTAATGTGTTCATGCTCGGTACATTTAGTCTTCACGAATATGTTTGTTTAATGTTCACGAACATTGTTCATTTATACATTCATGAACATTTCATTTAACATTTGTTCATTTATATGTTCGCGAATATATTTGTTTATATGTTCAAAAATGATAAAATTATGCCATTAGTCATTAAATTTCTTAGGCTTCACAGTTTGAACTTCTAAGTTTATCTGTGTTCAATTTAGTTTATACATTCACCAATATTTAAAATGTAAAGAAAAAGATGACCAAGTAAACGAGCTTGTTCGTGAATATAAACGAACTGGGTACATATTTGTTCGTATCCGTTCATTTATTAAATGAACATAAAAATTTTGTTTATATTCATTTATTTAACTTAATAAACGAGTGTCATATGTGAACCGAAGACTCTATTGATTTAGTCTTATAGCTAAATCTGTGACCTTATTTTTCATTAATTTGCATAGAAAGAATAGACATATTCATTCTTTTTTTCCCCTATTCGTAGTTCTTTCCGCAGTTGGTGGTATTGAAGCCTTGGGACAAGGTACGTGTAACATCTTCATCATTTATTGTTCTTGGCAAAAACTGCATTTACAATTACAGCAGATATTTACGTGCATGTACGCATATATATTTGACGTGAAAAGTGATGAGTTTTCAGATGCTGTGGTGTGGATTTCAGTAGCAATTCTGTTCATCCTTTTCTACGCTCAACGATTTGGAACTGACAAAGTGGGATTTTCGTTCGCCCCAATCTTAACCGTGTGGTTCTTATTACTCGTCGGCATCGGTTTTTACAATCTCAACAGATATGGTTGGAGCGTATTACGCGCGTTTAATCCGTATTACATGGTGGCTTACTTCAGAGGACGCGCCCAGCAGGCGTGGATATCTCTCGGTGGAGTAGTTCTTTCAACTACAGGGACGGAAGCCATGTTTGCCGATCTCGGTCACTTCAGTGTTCGAGCAATTCAAGTAAGATCGACATTCTTCGACGAACTTCATTCACTTTTCACGTTATTCAACGTTTAACTTTAAACTGCAGCTGAGTTTCTCTTGCGTGGTCTTGCCGGCATTACTGGTTGCATACTGCGGCCAAGCCGCCTACCTCTCCCAAAACCCTTATGATGTTCTGGACACTTTCTACAAATCAATTCCAGGTAAAAAAAATATTGAATTAAAAGAATCATGGGAGGTGTCGAAATGCTTGTGTTTCTAAAACTAGTTAATTCTCTGATAGATCCGATTTATTGGCCGACATTCGTGGTGGCTGTTCTCGCTGCAATTATTGCAAGCCAGGCTATGATATCTGGTGTTTTTTCAATCATCACTCAGTCGTTGTCAGTCGGGTGTTTTCCGAGAGTTAAGGTGGTTCACACATCGGAGAAGTACGAAGGTCAGGTTTATATACCGGACGTCAACTACATTATAATGATTTTATGCATTTTGGTCACCATTGTGTTCAGAAGCACAGATAAGATCGGCCACGCATACGGTAAGCAATCAACACGCAAAAGTTCTTAATCATTATGTCTTTAAATTAATAATCTTCTTTTCGCTGATGGAAATGAAATATTTGTGTTGGATTTTAGGAATTGCTGTGGTGGCTGTAATGTTCATCTCGACATGCATGGTGTCACTTATCATGCTCGTAGTGTGGAAGACGAACATATTGTTTATCATCTTCTTCTTCGGGCTGTTTGCCTTTATAGAGCTTACGTATCTCTCGTCTGTGCTGTCTAAATTTGTTCAGGGAGGATACCTTCCACTAGCCTATGCCATGGTCATGATGTCGATCATGGGGATATGGCATTACGCGTACAAGAAACGGTACGAGTTCGAGCTCAAGAACAAGGTTTCGAGTGATTACATCAAGCAACTAGCCCGAGATCCGAGGATAAATCGGGTGCCAGGGGTGGGACTTTTGTACTCGGAGCTGGTCCATGGCATACCTCCCATATTTCCTCATTTCATCTCCTCCATCCCCTCGGTCCATTCCGTTCTAATCTTCGTCTCGATCAAGAAGCTCCCGATTTGCAAGATAGCACCGGAGGAACGCTTCCTCTTCCGATACGTGGAACCGAGAGAGTACCGGATGTACCGATGCATCGTGCGGTACGGCTACATGGATGTAACGGGAACCAACAAGGAGTTCGAGCAACAACTGTTGGAGAACTTGAAGGACTTCATTCGTAACGAGTACTTCATGACACACGGAAGGACCGCCGAGGACACGACAACCGGTGAAGGAAGTAGCCAGATATCGGTTGTAGAGGAGGAGATTCGATTCATCGAGAGAGCCGTCGATGAAGGAATCATTTACCTACTAGGAGAAACAAAAGTGATGGCAAAACAAAATGCTTCAATCTTCAAGAAACTGGTTGTGGATTACATTTATACTTTTCTAAGGAATAATTTCAGGCAAGGGGAGACCGAGATGATGGTACCGCACACCAGGCTGTTAAGGGTCGGCATGACATTCGAAATTTAGAACAGACGTTTGACGAGGAGATGGGCAGTTTTCAGCAAAAAAAAAAATGAACACAAATAAAATCGAAACGAGGAAGAAGCTACATGTAATTGCCACACACCAAGACTCGTGACGTTTGTTGTTAGGAACTTAGGATTGTTGATTCTAAAATAAACATGAAAATGAAATGCAGAAAGAAAATAAAAAGCAAGTAAAAGAGTGATCCGCTTAAGGTCTCTTATTGAGTTTTTGTAAAATAATTAAAAAAATTAAAAACAGTTGAAAAAATAATTAAATTATTTTTCAGTCTGACAAAATTTCTTTTGTTTTCCTATGAATTGATCCTAACATTATGTTCGTTTACACCCTAAAACTGAGAAACTTGGATTCAGCAATAAAAGTAAAATAAAGGCTATCCTAATGGAAAAAGAAAAGGAGAGCCTTAATGTGGTTAAAGGCCATCTACTTGTTAGGCAAATAAGTAATCACGCACTGCTACACTATGCACATGCCTGGGGTTAATAGTACTACTGCAACTAGTTTTATAATGACTGCAAATATCTACACTCTGCATGATTCTGCAAAGGAGAGCCACTCAGATTTTTCCAATTTAAACATTAAATCCTTTTCACCAAATGCTTTCTTTTTTAGCATTAGTTGGTTTTAACTTCCGTATTCAAGGTCGTATTTCTGGTGATCCTAAACATAACGATTATTACAGATATCACGATCATCCAATAACGGGTACTATTACGGTAGGGACCTCTGCTTAAATCTCTTACTCTTAATGCAATCAATGCTGCAGGTAATATGGGTGAATGCGTCTGTAATTTCAGGTGGGGCTTCTTTTTCCTTTTCCTTTTTCCCCAATATGTATATGAATTTATAATAACCAATAATGCACATAGTTCCTATTATATATATATATATAAATTTACAGGTTTATGTTGTAAATTGAACTCAAATTAATATTAGGTCGGTATGTTAATATATTTGTTTTTATTCTCTCGTATTTTTCTAGGTCATAGGTTATAGATTAATTAAGAACATTTTATTATCTTTTAAATAGGATAAATATTAAATTTAGAATTTATAGAAAAATGATTAGAACTAATGATTACATGTGTTAGATACTTAAAATCTTTGATACTCTTAGAATTTAGTTCAGGGCAGGGCATACCTAAGACCCAATTGAGATTTACATAGGATTTTAAGATTGTCTACCAAGAGTGACGGTGGTGGGATTCGAACTTGGCTTTACAAGCTCAAATTCCTGAATCTCAACCACTAAGGATGTGTTTGGTTGGGGGAATGTGAGATTCACATGGGAATGGAATCCATATTCCCTCGTTTGGTTGGCCGAGAATGTTATTTCCGGTAATCTTACATTACCAATAGTGGATTTTTTTGGGTATATTACCGGGAATGTCATTACTTCCATTTCCTTAGGTATTGTTGGATTACCGGCGTTTTGGACTAAAATGCCCTTAATTTTTTTTCAAAAATATATTATTCTGTCATTGAATAATAAAAATTCTACGAATGTTAAATTATAAATTTATCCTTACACTATTTTAGATTTACAAAACAAATTTATAATTAAAATTTTATATGAAGTTCAGGGGTTAAAATAAAATTTTACTCTTTCATTAAACTTTTTTATATTTTCAATTTTGTAAAAAAAATTATATAAATTTTATGAATTTAAATTTTTTAAAGAAAATATATAAATATTTTCCGACTTGTTAAAAAAATAAATATATAATAAGGACAATTTGGTTAAATATGCATTTCAATAATCTTTTATTCCTTTAACCAAACACGGTAATCTTACATTCCTGCTAAACCAACCAAACACAAAATACAACATTCTCAGTAATCCTATTCCCTGGTAATCTTTTATTCCCACTGGTAATCTTACATTCCTTGAACCAAACGCACTCTAAGAGTGTAAGGGTATGGATACTCTTAGAATATTATTGATACTTGTTTATGAAAGATTATATTTGTGATCTGATGCTTGTGTTTAGTAATAATTCACATATTTATCATCTGCTTGTTATGCATTACAAATTAGTCCCTCCAATTAAAGTATTCACATTATTAAATGCACTAATCTTCATATGTCTTGATCTAAATAAGAATTCTGTTACAGTTTTTTAATAAAAGAAATGATTTGAACTCTTGCACCTAATTCAATTGGGACTTCACCCAAATATACCCGAAGTGAATTGTAACACTAAGAAGTGTAACAAATCCCCAAGCATAAGACGAATAAAGTATCATTACATCACTTAATGATCAATGAAGTTGGTGTTTATTCACAACTTTTACAAGTGTTTTGAAATTCTCAACGGAACTACCTCTAGGCTTTACTGCGTTGTAAGCCAGCTCTTTATGTAGTCCAATTTTGTCTCTCATTTCTTGCCTTGTTCGCTGCAAAATGTGAACTCCAACGCTTTCATGGCTCCTACTTTCGTCAATGTTCCTCCCTCCAATCCTAAACCAAATCCCCATACAGCCTCCACGGTTCGAGTGTTCAATCCTTGGTCTCCGAAAAACGGCCTTAAAATCATCGGCACTCCTCCGACGATACTTTCGAGCACCGAATTCCATCCACCGTGACTCACGAATACCCCCACCGACGGATGTTCCAATATTTCCGGCTGAGGAGCCCATGGAACTATTTTCCCTTTCGACCTCGTTCTTTTGAGGAACCCTGATGGCAATTGCTTCTCAGGGTTTCCTCTAAAAGACCAAAGAAATGGGAACCCACTCTCCTCCAGGGCTTCACATAATGCTTGCAGCTCGTGGGGCGGTGGTGTTATTGCGGTCCCGAAGCTGATGTACACAACCGTTTCCCAATCGTGCTCGCTCAGCCAGTCCAGGCAGCCGTGCGAGTCGTCGGCTGATACTAGATTGATGGGACCGATGCTGAGATACATGTCGAATCTTTGTTTAAGCATGTTGACAACTTTGCTGTCAAGTTCTTCGTATGAATTTACGGCAATCGCGGTGGCGCGTGACAGTTCTAGTCCCATTTTATGCAACATTACTGGCATGGCAGCATTGAAGTCGCCGGTGGTTATTCCGCCGGGTAAGTCGGCAGCACGTATAGGAGAAAAATCAGGGAAAAATTTAAGTGACTTGTCTTGTGGACCTGCAACATTCAGAACATTCATATTGTTGGTCACCTTAACAAGAAGAAAATGGCGTGCCTCTTCAAATATGTACGAATGTGTCCGTTACCCGTACCATTAATTCCCACATACTCTCTAATAAAATCTATCTCGACGTGAACGAACAGAGCTCTGGAGCCACCAGTCCAAATCGCCACCCAAGGGACGTTCAATTCATCGGCGACATCAGCCCCGAACGCATAAATCGCATCCGTTATCAAACAATCAATCGACTTACCAGTTTCGGCCACAACTTCATCCAAAGCCTCTGTGAAATTCTCCGGTACCGCCTTAAGGAAATACTCGACTGGCTCACTAGGATCATCCTTAAGCATGTATCCCTCGGGCAATCCATCCCACACGTTAAAAGGCTTAACCTTGTAAAGCTTCTTCGGAAACGTCAAACTGTTCGATTGTCGGGTGCCAAGGAAGGAAAACACCGTGTCGGGGCAAGCGTCGGATAGCTGAAGGATGATGTTGAGAAGAGGAGCAGCATGTGTGCCGAAGGGGAAGGCCAGTACAGCTATGTGTTTAGAAGCGTTGGCTTCTTCCATTTCGAGTTAATTTGTGTGCTACAAGCTCTTGAGACATGAGAATTAGATGAAGTAGTCGCTCTTAAATTAGAAAGGCAAACGTAAAAAACCAAAAAGAAAAACAAGAAACGAATACGTTAGGGTTGATCATTCGAATTAACACGAGACCATACAAAAGTCAATGATTGATCAAAATTTATCTCGGCGTATGAGTTTGTTGTATGGCTGTTAGATCGAAATTTATCTCTGTTCCATTAATCGGTCAATCAAAAATAATTTGTTTTAAACTCCATTTATTTGTTAATTTTTTGTTTAGTTAAGTAAAAATAATTGAACTAAAATTATTTAAATAACTTTTATTAATTAAATATATTATTTAGTTTGGTATTTATTAATGAAAATAAATAGGTTGTGTGCCGTAATCGGTACAATTTGATGCTGTTGACCGGTTTCTTTTTGAGGGAGATGAAGGTATCGGAAGGATAAGGGAAAATGGAGAGAGAAGTGTTTTCTTAGTCATGACTTATGTGTATTTATATCGAATCTTATTTAATGATGTCTGTCATAAGGTAATTCTGACTACTCGTAGGTCAACAGACTAAATAGATTTGATCATCAGATTTTGAGTTTACTTTTGATAAATCATAAAAAATTGCCAGAAGTCTTGTTTATACACTATAGTTGGTTTAGAGGCTATGACACTCGTGTGCTTAGAGGATATGATTTCTTTAAAGCTCCGATAAACGAAGAGTTCTATGTAAGTTCTTGATTGACGGAGAGCTGCCAGTTTTTGAAAATCTCTCTGAAAATACAATATTATCGTAAGTTCACAATACACTAAATCGGTTGAGATTTGATTATAAAATTAATAAATTTATATACAAAACTTTTATTATTTCACCTATCGTCGATTTAATTTTTTTAAAAGATAAATTATACATGTGACCACTTAATTATGTGACATTTTAGTCTAACGATCGATATTTTAATTTGTTCAAATAGATCAATTAACAATTTAAGATTTCAATTGAGTCACTTATCGCTAAAATTTGTTAGAAGAGTTGATGCGGGAATTAACAAAACTTTTATTACTTCACTTATCATTGATTTAATTTCTTTAAAAGTAAATTACACTCGTACTATTTAACCATGGGGGTTTAATTTGATCACTGATCTTTTAACTTTGTAAATCAGATCGCTTAACTATTTAAATGGTGTTAATCAAGCTAACTATTCGTTAATATTGAATAAGGAGTTGGTGTAATAGTTTGTTGAAAATATTTTGATGTTTCGATATAACAAATTAAATTAAAAGAATTTTAATTTTGAAAATGATTTTTCTAA